CATGACCTCAATAAGACCTAGAGATTTTTATTGGCCCACAGGGCAGGGTATTGAAGAGAAAATATTCTTTTACCTCTAAAATATGATGATGTTACTTTTCTGGATAAACAATAAAAACTTTCCACTGAACATGGTTGGAAAAAATAAGAACCCCTGTGTTTTTGAAATTTCGGGGTACGTGTGTGACTGTTTAATACTCTAATCGATTCTTCCTAGTAAATCACCACTCTATGGGTTGGCATTGAAAGGAATACGGTTTGTTTCTTTGGTGAGCTTATAGACTGAGTAGCATGAATGGTGGCTAAAAAGGAGAAAAGGGAATGTCATATTCTTTAGTTATTAGTCTGGAGGGCAGGGGTTGGAGGTGAGTTAAAAGATGTAGAATTGGAATTCTAAAAATAATTAAGGAGCTATTTAGTAAATCCCTTCCCACAATAATGTGTGACTTGGAAAAATGATAGGTGACCTGGAGCAATAAAACTTCTCATGCAGATCTTGAATAGTAAATGATACAATCACATCTACAAAAATGACCACTCCCTGGGGTGGTAAGGAGAGTACTTTCCCAGCATTCCAAAAGCTTCTCTGACTCTCTACTGTTCATGTTTACAAATTACCTGCCTAGGCTGGTTAACTGAAACACAGAGAACAGATAAACATGCTTAGCAAACCATTTAACCATGCTAAGCCCATAATTATCCTGCCTGAACATTTTATTCCTAAGTCTAAAATGGTTTAAAGTAGTAAAGTGTGGGTGTATGTATGTATGTATGTGTGTGTGTAAGAGGTAAGTTAATTGTGTGTGTCAGAGGCAAGAGAATAAGAAACATCTAAACACCATTGTTAGAAGGGAAGGTATAGGTTAACCTGGGCTCAAATAACTTCCTTCTAACCCATCAGTAGCACATTATCTAAGATTCTAAAGTGCTAAATTGGTCAGATAAGAGACTTGCTAAGATGTAAGATCCTCTGAACAATGAGGAAAGAAAATTGAAGTGAAAATTGCAATCTCCACCCACAAGAGACTTAAGTGAGATGAAGTGAAAAGTGTTTACAATGGAAGAAAAGAGGGAAAATGGGAAGAGGATGATATTTAATAATAAAGATAACACTGGGGACCCAGGGAGGAGGAAGATGAGGGGGGGGAGGGGCCAGCAAAGCCAAAGTCATAAAGCTCCACAGGGGTCTGGGCCTGGGGGTTGGGAAAGCTCAGAGGAGCTTATCAGAGTCAGCAGTGACTCTGCCAAATGCTGAGTGGACAATTGGTGTCAAGGCAGCAGCAGCAGCAGCAGCAGCAGCAGATGTTTTTCTGGTAGAAGAATGGTGGAATGATCGTCACAGGAAAATATTGCGCCCTGCAATAAGAGCTGTGTTTCACTGACAGCTGGACAAGAATGCACACAGACATAGGGGCAACACAGAGGCTGTGTGCAGACGGGGAGGGAGGGAGGGAAAAACAGAGACACATAAAGATGCTAAAGAACAGGTCTCTTAGAGAAGCATCTGTAAGGCAACCAGGACTAGCTACTGGGAGAAATAAAACATAAAGAATGGAAAATTGTTCCCGCCATGCAGTGAAACATGTGGGATCTGGAGCTAGAATGCCAGTATTCAGAGCCTGTCACCTACTAGCTGGGCAACCCTGGACAGGTTACTTGTGACCTCTTTGGCCTTTAGTTCCCTCATCTGTAAAGTGGATATAGTATAGTACCATCTCATGCGGTTGTTGTGAAAACGGAATGAGTTTATTGAGTAAAAGAACTTAGACTATTTCCCGGTACCCAGGAAGCATCAATAAATGTTAGCAACTACTGTGATGCCTGTGATCAGCTTCTGTGAGCGGCCCTGAGGTACCCAGAAGTACCTAGTTTAGGATGGTTGGGTAGTATCTACATTGTCACATCAAGATTCCGATTGTCCTCCTTAAGGGCAGTTTGCAGGGTGGTTACATGTAGTAAGGATGATGGTAACATTTTATGAGGTTTACAACTGCTTTAGGCAAGTCACTTACTCCCACCCATTGAGTCTCAGTTTCTATCTGTAAAATGGGGGTATTTTATATATATATATAATATATATGATATATATATGTATGTATATGTATGCATATACATATATGTACACATGTGTATACATATACATAAAGGTATGATATATATGTATGTATATACATATATATATACATGTATATACATATACATAAAGGTTTCTGTGAGAGTGCCTAGAACAATGCCTGGAACAGTTTCAACACACAGTGTTAATCCCCTTTGTGATGTTGGTGATGGGCAACAGGTTTAAAATACTCTCATCTAGGAAGGGAGATCCTGACTGTTCTCCCAGCTGCCTGTAGAGAGGCCTTGGGTTTAGCTTCTCTTGTCAGAGCCTGGAAGAACTGATCTTTTAGGTCACACAGAGAACTGACGTTTACCTTTCACAACTTATCTCAGGTGTGAACAGAAGGAAATTGACAGCCTGAGTCTTTAAAGTGGGTCAGTGGTGATGGGAATACATTTTTAATTCTTCCTTGAAGTCTTTCCTCTCTAAAGGAAGGAAGCAAGAGGAAGCAGGTAACAGTTTGTACAGGATGGGCTCTGATGCTAATGTCACAGGAAATTTCTGCCTTCTCCTGCCCCAGATAGCAGCTGGCTTGCTGGTGGGCATCCTGCTATGGCTTTGACCACTTCACTGGGAAGCAGGTCTTTCTTACTGGGGATAGACATCTGGATGATTTTGGCCAAGGACATGATCTCCCAAAGAGCCTCCTGAGAAGAGGTTCTCTTCATGATCCCTCAGTATGCATATTCATATTCAATTCAATAGGCTCATATTCAATAGGCTCTCTCCACTTTGCACACCCCAAGAAATACTTCCTCTGGAACTCCAAGAGAAGAAAAGGCACGAAACTGAACAGGTGGTGATTTTGTACTTGCTACCAAATATTCAGGTTTTTGTCACCACCAATAGTAGAAACAAACCTGCGAACCTTTACCTCCATTCTTGGAGCCAACACTCCTTCTGGAGGAAGAACATGGAAGAGCCAAGCACCCAGCCAGCTGACTACAGGGTAAGTCCCAACTGGGGCCTTCTTCAGAAATCCATTCCTGCTTTTCTTTCCCATCTGCTCTGCCAGGGCTAACTGGGAAGCCCCCAGGGTGGTTTCTAATATATGTCTTACAATGTCCAGGCTCCCTCCCCAGCAATCATTTATTAGAAAGAGGTTTTATGATACAAATTTGATAATCTCCCATGCACACTGGCACTGTTCTAATTGAAGTTGTAAGCCCATAAAATTCAAGCCCTTTGTCTTCCTGAAGGCCACAAGGTTTAAAAAGGTTTAAAAAGATACTATTGTCCTCTCTAACACCCACGACATTGTCACCAGGGACTGATTAAACAGACTCCTGAATTGAAACAGTGCGGATTTTGTCTAGGTCCTTTTCAGGCCTGACAATGGCCTTTTCAGTTCCCAAGACAAAAGGAGGTTTAAGAATCGAGATTCTTCTGAGATAACCGCATCCATATGGAAGGCAAGGTGGCCAGCAGCTGAGACCCAAACACCCCACTCCCTTCCCCCTCTGTCCTCTCTCTCCCCATTCCACTAAATTCCAGGTGATGACACTGCCTCAGCCACCCTACCTCCTGTGGGTGGGGGAAGAAAACTAGGGTCTCAAACTGGCCCAATGCCTACTCTTCACAGGCCTCACTGAGCCCTTGTTCCCTTCCCTGGATCTGAACTCCGACCCTACTCTCCTCACGCACATCTCCTTGCAGTGGGCACCAGGGAGGCAGGTTGTCACTTCTCCCAGAGGGTAAACACTCTCACAGCAAGCTCTGCAGCTCCCGATTCCCAGGTGAAGGGCAGTTACAAACTCCAAGGGTGGAACAACTACATCTCCGAGATGAGAGTGCATGGGGACCGCCGGTGAAATGAGACCCACTAGCAGATCCCACACCTACGTAGGCCCAGCAGGGCTCTCCAAAGCAGTCTTCTCTCAACTGGCAGCCCTGAGGAGGGTCATTTTCCCACCACCCTTTGATTTCTTCATTGTGCTACCCCCTTCCCCATTCCACTTCAAGTAGAGCTAAGAAGAGGCAGGAAATCACAGATGCCAAGCGAGGCAGTCTCAGGCTTAGTTGGGATTTACAAATTCTCCGGGTGCTCGGGCGCGGGTGCTCCTCCGGGCGCGGGTGCTCCTCCGTCCCCAAAAGGACAGCTTGCAACCAGGCCAGGGCTGCTCCCACGTAGTATGCTCTGCCCCCAGCCCAGCTGGCACGTCTCCAGAATAATCCTTATGGGAAAGCTTATTATGCCCTATCGTGGCCAACTGGGTTGACTTCTGGTGTCTAAGACACCAGCAGCTTCGGGAGCCCAGAGGGGCCTCCAAGTCACTTCGGGCCCAGAGCACCTCCCTTTGACAGGGATCCCAGGGTTTCCGGTTCCCCCCCCCTCCAGCCCCGCAACCGCAACCTCTTCCCTCCACCCCTTCCCCCCAGTATCTTCCTAAAGCTGCGTCGGGACGGGGATCTGTCCTTTCCACGCAACCCGGGGCGGGGGGGGGAGGGGAGAGTGGACTGGCGCCCTGAACTCCGGTCCGGAGAGCACAGCTGCCAGGTACGTCCCCGGCAGGCGCTCGGGGGACTCAACCCTACACATTTTATTCTCGCAGCACCACAAAGAGGAAAAATACTCTATTTCTTTAAAAAATAAGTTGCTTCCCATACAAATAGCTATTTAAAAATATACAAATAAGGTTTAAGCAATAAAATCTAGCTCTGGGGCTGGCGGTGGAGGGAAGAGGAGAGGGGGGGAAATCCTGGCTAAAGTTCCCTGCTCCGCGGCTGGCGAGGGCGGGGCGGGAGACCCCTGCGCCCAGGGAGGTGGGGCCCGCAGAGAGGAGGGGCCGGGGGAGCCCTGCGGATCTCGGCCCCCAGCCCGGCTTCGGCCGCACAGGCGCCCCGAAGTCCGGGGCAGCCCCGGGTGCCCGCGGCCCGCATCGGGCTCACCAGCTCCAGGACACCAGGGCCGGGGGCGCCAAGTGCTGGTAGGCGGGGAAGAGGCCGAGCGCCGAGCAGGGCGCGAAGGCGGCGTAGCCCGGCACGGGGCAGGCGGCAGCCGTGGACGCGCCGCTCTTGTCCCGGACGGAGGCCGCGCTCACGTCGCCGCTGCCGCAGGGCTGACCGTCGCGCACCAGCACGGGGACCACCACGCGGCGCAGCAGGCCCGGGGCAGCGCGCAGCTCGGCGGGGGCTGCGAGGTCCGGCGGCTCCATCGCCCCCGGCGCGCCCGGGGCGCGCGCGCGCTTCAGCTTGTAGCGATGGTTCTGGAACCAGATTTTGACCTGTGTGGGCGTGAGGCGAAGCAGGCGCGCCAGCTGCTCGCGCTCGGGCGCGGACAGGTAGCGCTGCTGCCGAAAGCGTCGCTCCAACTCCAGCGTTTGCGCCTTGGAGAACAGCACCCGACGCTTCTTCCTCTTTTCCGCGTCTGAGCCGGGAGACGCCGGCCGAGCGGACGGCCGCTGCGACGAGTCGGGCGGGCTGGTCTCCGGGCTGCTCTCGTCCGAGGCTAGAGGGGGCAAAGGAGACACGGCCCCGTGAGACGCCGGCTCCTCCGCCCTCGGGCTGCTGCCCGCGCGCGCGCCCGCGCGCCTGGAGCCGCCGGCCGGAGGGCGCCGCCACCTGCCCGCGGCTCTTGGGGTGACACCATGCCCTTCCCTGGGCCCACAACCGGACCCCCGCCTCTCCAAATGCCACAGCCTGAGATGAGACCCCCCTCCCCCCACCACCTCCTCAGAAACTCTCCAGGGCCCTCTTAAAACAAGTCCGCACCGGTCGCTGCGCTAGCGGACAATTTGCCGCAAGCTCGGTCACCGACCCGGGCCACCTCCACGGCCACTGCAAGAGGTGGCCGAGGTTTGCAAAGCCCTGGGGAGCTGGGCTCGCCAATGCGGCCCATCCCGGACTGAGGCCTGAGAATGTGGCCGTGTTTTCAAACATTTAAGGGCCGTTTCTTAAATATTTAAAAAAAATCGTGAGCTCTAGAAACAGCAACCCAGATCCCGGGCGTCAGTGCCAGGCGCAAGGACCTGCCCTCGGGCGGTGCTGACTAGGGCACGAATGGCATCGGGGTTTGAGGAGGACAGAGCCTCTGGCCCAAAGGCTGGTTGGGACTGCCCGGCGCCGGGTGGGTCGGGCGCACGGTTCTGCTCCCCGCTCCCGACCCCCCCCCGCGGTCTTCCGCGTACTCACAGGGGTAGTGGCCGCGCTCGGACTCCAACCAGGCGGCGCAGGGGCCGGGCCCGGGAGCGCCCAGCTCCGGCTCACGCCTCCGCAGGTGCTGTGCGTCCTGCTCGGGTAAATCCAGGAGGCTGCGCACGGTGAAACTGAGGCGCCCAGAGGTGGCCATGGCCACGGAGGGGAAGGGGGGCGGGGCAGGCAGGGAACGGCGCGGCGGCCCGGGCGCCGCCGCTACGAGTGGGCGCCCGAGGCGCACGCCATGCGCCGGCTGCCGGGATATTAGCGCGCTTACAGCGCGGTCTCTGTTTATATAAACAGCTCTTCCCACCCGGGATGCTTTGAAAGCCGAGGTCCGGGTCTCCGGGGTGTTAAGTACCTGATGAGTGCTGGACCAAAGACAGCGAGCCCGGAAGGTGCCACCTCCGCCCCCCGCGCCCCGCCCCGCCCCGTCCCCCGCCCCCCCGCGCCCCGTTACCTCCCAGAGGAGGCAGGAAGCGGCTCTCCGGCATTAGCGATTCCGTCTGATTAGCCCAAAGTGGGGACAGATAATGGGGATTGTTACCAATGAATAACATCTTGGGTGGCGAGCGGTGGTCACCCCCCGCCTGTCCCAGCCCCGGCTTCCTCCTCCTCCTGGGCTGACGCGGGGCCTGGCCCCGAAGGAGCGCCGGCTAGGGTGGGGGCGGCATGGGTGGGTGTGTGAGCACCCAGGAATTTATTCCCTGTTTGCTTTATTCCTCGAGCTTGTTTGCTAGAGCGTTCGTGGCCCGCAATTGCCCGGAAAGTGATTTACAAGGCGGCGTTAAGCCCCGGCGCGCTCGCTCTGCTCTGCTCTGGGCTGGGGCCCCTCCGGGGACTCCGGCGAGGAGCTGCAGGCGGCGCGAGGGGTCTGGCGCCGCCGGCCGGGCCGCGGGCTTGGAAGGCGGCTGGAAACCACACCCCTAACGCTCCCCGCGCGGGGAGCTGCGAAGGGCTGGCTGCAGGGCGGGAGCCCAGCCCTGCGCCCGGTTCCCCAGACCCGCAGAACCGAGGCGGAATGGGCCAAGCGCTTCAGGTCCTTGGTGCCACCGCCGGGCCCCGTGGCCGCCGCTCCTCGGAGCCCCCGCCCCGCCCCCCAGGCCCGCGCGTGGGCCCAGGGCGACGGCGCGTCTCACCGGGAGGCCGCGGAGGCTTTGGATGGCCTTGGCGTCGCCACACCCTCCGGCGCCCCTGGGGAGCTTCAGCCCTGTGGCCTCGGGTCGGGCGGAGTCCCGGGGCTACGGCTTCTGCCCCCGGGCGGGGCAGGCCTCGCGCTAGCCGGTACCGGATCACCGGGAGAATCCGGGCTGGGCTCGCCGGGCAGAAGGGTCTGCCTGCCGCCCGGGGGGTGGGGGGGGCGGGGAGGGGGGGCGGTGCGGGCCTGAGATCCAGCTCCCACAGCCCCACCCCAGCAATCGCTCCAGGTGCAGGGCGTTCTGCTGGCCCAGGGCTCCCCGCGCTCGCGCTTCAGCGGGGCTCGCGGGGGCCGCTCTGGAGGCCTCGCCTCTGCAGCCGCCCTTCGGGTATTTGGCTGCTAAATTCTGGAGAGCGGCGCGGCGCTTGGGTGGCCGCCCCCGAAGCCCTAGCTGCACCTGAGCTTACCCCGGACCTGGCTCCTGTGCAGTGGCCCGGGCTCGCTGGCCCGGTGCACCCTCCCCATCAGCCTCCCTGTCAAGCGTGCCCAAGGCTCCCCGGGCTGCGCCGCGCGCTGGGTGGTCGGGCGGAGGCAACCCCAATACAGGCCAACTGCTAGGCCGCGGACAAAGGGGAAATGGAGCTCGACGCCCCGGACCTGTTGGAAGCATTTGTTCCAGTCAAGATTTTGCATTTGTTCAGTCCGAAATAATGCGTGATTGACGCCTGCTCACAAAGCTCTTTAGCACGCCGGGATAAATCGGAGCTTGTCCCGTGTTGTCATGGTTTTCAATGGGGTTCAATGGGATTGGGAGCACGATCGACTCTGCTGGCCGTCTCTCCGCCGCCCCGGCAATAGATTTATTAGTTATGTCTTTTTAAATAAGATTAAATTGAAATGACTTGTCTGTCCTCTTCGAGATGGGCGGCAGAGGGAGCCAGGAGTAGAGGGGGGCGGGAGGTGGGGGATGGGGGTGGGGGAGCAGAAGCCTGAAACTCGGGGCCCACTGCGCCCAACACCTAAGCCCCAGCGTCCCAGAGACTGAGCAGGTCACAGACTGACCCAGGGCTTCCAGGACTTCTATCCAGTTAGAGCCGGATGCCTGGCAAACCTCTGCTACCCCAATTTTCAGAGACAGGTGGAAGGAGAGCACTGATTGAAACCATCTTACGGAAGCATTAGGATAGACTCCCATTTGGGGTCTGAACTTCATGGCTGTGTCAGGGAGAAGGAGCTCTGGCCTGGGAGTCAGTTGGCACCCCAGCCCAGCTCCTAACTAGCTCTAATGGCCTCATCACTCTGAACCACCCTCCCCCCCACCTCCCCCTCCGCCCCCCACCCTTATCTGAAATAGAGGAGAATAGATATGGTAACTTCTTAGGACCTTATAAGTTTTATGATTACATCTGCTGGCATTTTTTTAAAACTATCTTTATTGAATTAGCCAGCAACTTTGGTCTTCCCCCTCACTCCATCATGCCCCCCCCCCTTTCTGGTACTCATCCCTAGGACTCTGACTCCACATTCTCCAGAATGTTCTAGGAGAGGATGTGCCATCTTCCAAGTTTACAAAGGACCCGCCACAGGAGTTGGAGTGAGGTAGATCTTAGTTTTGGAAAGAGGACCAGAGAACCAGGTCAGGAGATGCAAAAGAAGTCTTTCCTGGAGTGACTGACCTCTCTTAGCCTTTTAATCTATTTAACATCCTAAGCCCACACTGACGTGTAGAAATAAGTAAATGGCACTCTTCAATTCTTAAGAGCTCTTCAGCATCAAATATTTGCTTTTACTCTTAGTATTTGGCTCCCGAAGAAGAGATAACCCCCCACCCCCCACATTCAGCATTGGTGCGCTGAGAAGGACCTAGCTCTGGGATTAGCTCCAAATATTACTTCTAGCCTTACCTTCCCTAATCTGGCAGCAGCGTTCCTGGGTCTCAGTCTGTGTTCTAAATATCCCAGGAAAACTCCGTACCTGCTGGTTCTAGAAAGCATTGCGGTTTCACTGTGTCATTGTGGTTTCCTCCCTCCTCTGTTAGATTCCTTGGCTGGCTGGTCCAATCTTCTTAACTGGGCTCTGGGATTTTATCTAAATTCTCTCTAAGAGCCAGAGCCTGGGGACTCCAGGAAGTTGTTCCCTTCTTTTTTTTTTTTTTAACAAGTTTTTTTTTTAAAATTTTATTTATTTATGATAGTCACACACACAGAGAGAGAGAGAGAGGCAGAGACACAGGCAGAGGGAGAAGCAGGCTCCGTGCACCGGGAGCCCGACGTGGGACTCGATCCTGGGTCTCCAGGATCGCGCCCTGGGCCAAAGGCAGGCGCCAAACCGCTGCACCACCCAGGGATCCCAAGTTGTTCCCTTCTGAAGTAATGGAAGAAAGGAGGTAAACAGCCAGAATCATTAGCGAAAGGCACTTTCGCTATTGCCTCTTCATATCAGATAAACTCAACGACATGGGAGGGGAAATTTATTTTGATACTGGGTCAATTGGAAAAACTAGGCAAGATAGTAAGTTTTACACATATTGGAAATCTTTATATAAATTGCCTCCAATTCATAAGAGATTCTTAGTATCACAAGCAAATCATCTAACTGAATATCCTTTCTAGATTTTAAAATATTATTTGATGTTCTGGACATTTGAACTTATTTTGCAACTCAACATGGCTTGGGAAGATTATTATTTAATTAGATAAGTATTTGTTTCCCTGTAATTGGATGTAGTGCATCTCAATCCTAATAAGAGTTTTTAATCGTTAGACATCTGTGCTATAGTGAATATATTTAAGCAGTTTGCATTAATCTGCCTTTCAAAAGTATTATCCAAGATGATCATCATGGCTGCGTGCTTAAGAATTTAAGACTAGAAAATTCTGAAATAAAACTAAAGTATCTTGATTTTAAAAAAATGATTGCATCTATATCTTGCATTCCGTTTTTAAATCCTTCCATTTTGGTTAAGTGTTTCACAAAATCCTGTGAATCTATACAGTATTGAAGAGAGGCAACATTGCAAATTCCCCTTGATAGATGGAGGGCCCTCAACTGCCAGGACATTTTTCTTTGCCTCATAGCAACTGCTCTCCCCCCCTCCTTTTTTTTTTTTTTTTAAATCACTATTCTGGTTAAAATAGCAAAAGGAAAAATAAAAATGGGCTTTTGATACCTCCAAGAAGAAGTGAATGATCTTGATCAGGCTTAGGATAGAAAGAAGCAGTAGCATTTAAAATCAGACCTCTTTGCCTTTCCTTCTGAAAACTAGTTGCCATGAATAAATAAACATTTCCCTTTTAATGGCTAATAATCAATTGCTTGGCGGTGGTCCAGGCCTCACTGAATTCATTCTTAGTTGTATTGATGATATATACACACATGGGACAAGGAACGGCAATTACTTTCAGACTGGGGATTTAGTACATCTTTGAAATGGGCTTTGGATTTTATTGGTTAACATAAACGACAAGATTTGAAAGATCCCATCTTAAATTTCTTAAAATATGGACTTTCCATGGACTTTTTTGTTGTCATTATTGATCTCTAGGAAAAAAGTTTTTCTCTCCTGCTATGTGTATCTAGTTGTTTAGGTATATAGTGAAAAAAAAAATATAGGGAGTAATATGGTTCAGTGAATTAAAAAGTAAAGGTATTTCAATGAAATATCTATGGTTTCCCTTTCTTAAAGAGCCAGCAAATAACTTTAAAAATTTTAAAACTAGTTAATTGAATATTTCTGGTCTTTCCCATACCTTACAATGGTATAATATAATGATAGTATGGAATGTAAGTTGTTGGGATAGAAATAACAGCACATTTTGGAGTGGGTGACAGATCTTACTATTCAAAGCTGAACTTCATTTTTGTCTAATCTTTTTTTTTAAGATACTACTTTATACTCCTTTACTTGACTGATAAATAGTTTATATAAAATAGTATGCCCCCCCAAAGATCCAGTATCCCAGTTGATGTTTACATAGTAAAGGTCCAGGCCTTACATCATATTTAATGTCACAAAT